GAGTTTTACCAGATTCTCAAGTCGAACCGGGATCACCTTGATCCGGAGTCTGTCTCCAGCCATTCCTCCTCCAGAGCTTCTCCCTCGAGATCGAGCGTCTCGGATTTCGAAGAACAAGTTAGAAGGCAGCATCCCTGATAACCTTTCAGTTGAACTGAAAGGGTTCAATGTGTCATATAATAATTTATCTGGTGCTATACCTGATAACTTGAGGCAGTTTCCTGATTTGGCATTTCATCCTGGAAACTACTTCCTTAGGTTTAGTTTTTCTCCATCATCGCCAAAGGATTCTTCCAATCGGAATTTGAGGGCACCTGGGTCTCATTTGAAACCTGCTAGCAAAATTGCTTTGGTTGCAGGTTTGGTTGGTGGCACTGCTATACTATCTCTTCTATGCATAATGATTTATTTCAGGGCCTATTGGCGGCAGAATGACCATTCAAAAGTAATTAGGGGAAAGAAAAGTGTTGAACATGGGGTTGCATCAGCGCCTAGCAAAAGCAAAGACTACCCATCGTCTTCACTTAGTTTCCGTCAAGAACTTTTGCCATCATCAGAAAAGGGTTCTGCATATTATCGTGGGAACAGTTCATCAGTTGTAACTGAGCCTCAAGGTTTTGGTCATCCTGAATCCATCAGAAAAGATGAAACATTAGCTTCACCAATGTCTATATTGTCATCTTCAAATCCCTCTCCATCTAGGAGCCAATTTCCATCCGGGAGTCTTGGAACACTTAAAGTTCATTCTCCAGAGAAACTAACCGGGGATTTACATCTCTTTGATGGCTCACCAGCATTCACAGCAGAAGAACTTTCACGTGCTCCTACTGAAGTGATTGGAAGGAGCTGCCATGGGACATTGTACAAAGCTACACTTGACTCTGGTCATGTATTGGCTATCAAGTGGTTGAAGGAAGGCATAGCGAAAGGTAAAAAGGAATTTGCAAGGGAAGTAAAGAAACTTGGGTATATTAAACATCCGAATTTAGTTCCTCTTCTTGGCTACTACTGTGGCTCGCGGGACCATGAGAAGCTGGTCATATCAAATTTCATCAATGCAGAATGTTTGACCCTCTATCTTCAAGGTAAAATCCTGTCTTTCGTGATTATAACTTACAAGCCTTCTCCATGCTCAGAAGTTGACACTACTGAACTGTTACACTTGACTGTTGCATTATTAATTTAGATGACGCATCACTATGAAAACAAGGCCTAAAATACTAATTTATGGAGCAGGCTTTATTTCATTTTCAAGTTATGTGGTTGTCTGGTTCATGTTGTGAGTACATGTAGACTCCTCTTTAGAATTATTGCTATTTTTCTTGACTCATTGATGGGTACTTGCAGTAAAATAGATGAGAAATATATGAGCATTGACTGTCCTTTATTTTTCCTTTTTTGGGCTTTCTTTAAGTATGAATGATTTTATCCGAATTTTTTTCTAGCGTGGAGCATAGTTTTCTTATGTTTTTCCCAATTTATGCTCTTAATTTCTTCTGCAGAGACGGAGCCAAGAAAATTGCCACCTTTATCTCTAGATGAACGGCTCAAAATTGCTATGGATGTTGCTCGGTGTTTGAACTACCTACATAATGAGAGAGCAATACCTCATGGCAATCTTAAGTCCACGAACATTTTGTTAGACACTCCTGATATGACTGCACTCCTCAGTGATTACAGTCTCCACAGGGTATTGACACCAGCAGGCACAGTTGAGCAGGTTCTAAATGTAGGCGCTCTTGGCTATAGACCAAGTGAGTGGAGGGCCGTCTCCTGGACGGCGGAGGTTGATTCGAAGATGAAGATGGACTCAATTTCTGGCCATAGATCAGAAATCGCCTCGTAAAGGTCTAGTATGCGGAACATTTTCTCCGGTATTTTCTTGCATTTGGCTACGTTTTCTGGGAATCCAAACAGAGCCAGAGCACCGTCTCTAGAAATTTCTGAGAAGCAAGATTCTCTCAACGACGAGGCAGAGAACACCTGGTCACAGAGGATTCTCTCGCCGTAGAACAGTGTTTTCACGGCGACTTTCACAGCGTTTAACCAGCTCTTGATCTTAATCTCCAAAACCTCCCAATCCATCTTTTGGAGTTGTGAGAGAGTCAATCTCTCAACTCCGAGATGATAAAGAGCCTCATCAATTATGGATTTCCGAATAATTTTGTAAATCTTGATGCACTCCTTCGGGTAACCGGCGGAAATCATACAATCCGCAATAGTTCTCAAATCCGCCATGGCCGCCGTCGAAGCTCTCTCCATTTCAGAAATTGCCTCGTTCTCGTGCCTCGACTCGTACTCAAACTCGTCTTCGAAATCCGAGACGCTCGATCTCGAGGGAGAAGCTCTGGAGGAGGAATGGCTGGAGACAGACTCCGGATCAAGGTGATCCCGGTTCGACTTGAGAATCTGGTAAAACTCTTACAGGATCCACGTTGGGGAGGCAGCGGGAAGTCTCGGCAAAGGCAAAAAAAATTTGTGGGAGATGAGGTGGGGCCCACAAGACAAGGTGGCAAAAAAAAATAAAAAATGGCCTAACCAAGTGTGACCGTTTGCACTTAACGGTCAATAAACAGGACCGTTAGCTTAATTGGACGGAGGGACGACAAGTGCATGCTTTTACATTGTAGAGGGACGACATGAAGCCAATTCATAGTAGAAGGTTTAGAATGCACTATTTTGGATAGTAGAGGGACGATAGATGGCCTTAACCCTCCATTCTTCCGAAGCGCAAAATATGGAGTTCTATTCTTAAACTGTTCATTCTTCGTGAGACCCTAAGCAAGCAACAGTAATTGGAACTGGGCCTTAGAAGGCCAGGCCCAGCTGCTGAATTCAGTCCAATCTAACGTCATTCTCCCCCCTACGTTTTCGTTCTTCCTGCTAACAAGCGTCTATCGAAGCAACTGGAAATCGGGATCTTCTCCTCGTCCCTTCCCATTGGAAGAAAATCTAAACCAGATTTCAAGCTCAAGATCATGTCGCGAGAGAGGCCCAGACGACTCAACCTACCTCCAGCTCAAGAGGTCTTTTCCTTTTTCTTTTTTTGTTTTGCTGCATCACATCTTCTTCTTTGTTTCCCGCAAATGAATGAGTAGTCTGCTTGGTTGCTGAGAAAATGGAAGAAAAATGAATGAAACGAACTGATTTTGCTTTCTATGTTTTTTTTTTCCCTCGTTTCCCTATCGTTTTCGTTTCATGGTTGTTTGATTGGTTAGAACAGATTGAATTAAACTCCTACAAGCTGTGTTTTCTACTTGTTTGGATTGGAATTGGATTGCAGATTTATGAACGTTTCTGGATCACGAAGGCTA